ACACCCAATGATTTTGCAGCCTTTGAGGTAGCATGGCACCTCTTACTAACACCAGGCCCCACATGCTACAGACATGAGGGGCACCCCAGAGTCAAATGTGCATGCTCTGACCTGAGGGCAAATCCCAGAGTTAAAGTTTATCACAACTTAATGAAAAATTTTTAAATGTTTATCACTTAGCCTAAAAATTTAGGGCAGGGGAAGGGGATGGTGAGAATTAAGTGAACTGATGAGTCCAACTGAGTTCTGGCTCATTAATAAAAATTCAGTTGCAACTCATCCTCTCAGGGTTTAGGTTTTAAGTCAACAAGTAAGATAAAAAAAAACGGAGAAAAGCCAAACCAACCTTGAAAATCTCTAGACTGATAGCTGATCAGGCTAGATCACTGGTTCTCAAATGGGAGTAATTGTGCCATCCCGCCAGGGGACATTGGCCAATGTCTGGAAACATTTTTGGTTATCACAACTGGGGAAGGGTCCTACTGGCGTATAGTGGATCAAGGCCTGGGAAGCCAATCAACACCCTACAATGCACAGGGTAGCCCCACAACAAAGAATGATCTGGTTCCATATGTTCATAGTGCTGAGGCTGAGAACCCAATGCTAGAAGATCAAGCAATGAAAGGCAAGACAGAAAACAGGAGGACCAGCTCCCACTGGCTTCCACCATGGGCTGACCCAGGGACATATCATTCAGTGGGGTAGATTCATCTCTCTTTTTTTTTCCTCTCTCTTTGCTGAGCACTTAAGCTAAATATGTCTACAACATGAGCCCACTGCAGTAAAAATAGCTACCATTTACTGACTGTTTATTACTGTGTGCTGAGACAGGTGCTAAATAATTTATATGCATTAATTTAGCGAATACTCCCAGCAACCATGAGATAGTTATGACCATTCCCATTTTATTGGTGAGGAAACTGAGGCTCAAAAGGGTTAAGAATTTGCCTAAAGGCACTCAGAGAATACAAAGGCAGAGTCAAACACAAAATCCAATATATAGGGCACAGCCTGTGCCTCACCATCACTTACTCTAGGCAGCGGTTCTCAACCTGTGGGTCGCGAACAATGAAAATACACCCTGCATATCAGATATTTACATTACGATTCATAACAGTAGCAAAATCACAGTTATGAAGTAGCAACGAAAATAATTTTTTGGTTGGGGGGGTCACCACAACATGAGGAACTGTATTAAAGGGTCGCGGCATTAGGAAGGTTGAGAACCACTGTGGGTCTCAACTGCTGATGGTTCACTCACCGCCCACCCTGGGACATTTTGCAGTGTCTGAAGACATTTTTGGTTGTCACGACCACTGAGGCAGGGATTCAGGGGAGGGTGTGTGCTACTGATATCTGTGGGTAGAATCAGGAATGCCACTATGATGCTAAACATCTTACAAGGTATAGGGCAGCCTCTACCACAAAAAATCATCCAACCCAAAATGTCAATGGGGCCAAAGTTGAGAACCCTGCTTTATACCACATCTCAGCTTTCTACCATGCATGTCCACAAGTCAGTAAGAATTCAAATGTATGTAGTAATGTATATGGTAATGCAGGATCTAGAACCCAAGATTTCCTATAACTCATATACACTCTGCTCCCCTCTCCCTATTCTTCGTTAACTTTGCCAAGATCAAAATGCTGCCATCAAAGCCTGATGTTAGTCTACAATGCAGAATAACTTCAGAGTTAGGATGATTAGAGTTTGGGATGTATCAATAGCAAAATGCCAGGAAGAAGAGAATATCCCAAAACACAACTGGACAAGTCAAAGACTACAGGAATACCAAGAAAGGGCTCTGGGAGCTGTTGTCAAGCATCCCTGAAGAGATCACTATGGCAACAAGGGCCAACGAGATGCTGTGTTGGGTAAAGCACTGGAAATGTTTCTTTGTAGATAAGCAGTACTCCTATCATGTCCCACTCAAGCCCGTGGTTTCTCAACCCTGGCTGCTTTCTAACTGTATAGATGCCCAGGGCCCACCTCACACCTCACAGAATCAGAATAGGTGTGGTGTGGGGGACTGAGCATTTCTGGTTTTAAAAAAGCTCCCTAAGCACCCTGACTGGTTTGGCTCAGTGGATAGAGCGTCGGCCTGCGGACTGAAGGGTCCCGGGTTCGATTCCAGTCAAGGGCATGTACCTTGGTTGCAGACACATCCCCAGTAGGGGGTGTGCAGGAGGCAGCTGATCGATGTTGCTCTCTCATCGATGTTTCTAACTCTCTATCCCCCTCCCTTCTTCTCTGTAAAAAATCAATAAAATATATATTTTTAAAAAACCCCAAAACAAAAAACTCCCTAGGCAATCCTGATGCCCAGACCGGGTGGCTAGCCAATGCTCAGACTCACACAGAGGTGGCAATGGCCCACAGAAGAGAGACAGAGGGTGTGAGGATGGATCAGCTTAGGATCCCTGTCTAGAAAGACAGAATCCAAGAGAGCATTTGGAGCTTAAATAGCAAGAGGAAAAGCACATGGATGGGGGCAGTCCTTAAGGCTTCAAAATGCATAGGCAAGGGAGTCTTAGTTTACAGCGATAAGTTTAACATCCAAGCCAAATCCAGAAATGGAGTCAAGAAACACATAATGACTAATTAAAGGATGGCAGGAATATGTGAGGCATAAAAAGCCCTGAAAGTTGATTTCCTGAGGACATCTATGCCAGAACTAGTGCCAGAGGCAAAGTACTAGGTGAGTGCAGCATTCATTACGCAAAAACATTCCATTTCTCTATTTCACACTTACCCATTCAACTATGCAGTAATTTATAATTGACAGCTGATGTGTCAGGTATATGCTAGAAATGGTATCCTTGGGAAACAGGAATCCATAATTTCCTCTTTATGCTAAAAGATATCTCCCAATGAAGGTCCTCACTGAATTCATTCATTCATCGGACAAACATTTCTTGGATACCTACTCTGTGCCAGGCACTGTTCTAGATGTTGTGACTCCATCAGTAATAGTGACAGACAGAAAGCCTTGCCTTCGTGGAGCTTATATTCCAGTAGAAGAGTAGTTGAACAAACAAGTAAACCTAGCATGCCAGATGGTGATTAAGTGCTGTGGGTAAAATTAAGCAGGGTAAAGGGGACAGGGAATGTGGATACAATTTAACACAGGTGGCCAGAGAAAGTCTCAATAATAAAGTAACCCTTGAGTAAAAATCTGACAGAGGTGAGGGAGTGGGCCATGGGAATATATGGGGAAGAGTGATTCAGGAAGAGGAAGCAGCAGGTCCAAAGGCATAATGGAGGGAGCTAATGGATTATTCAAGGGACACTGAGAAAGCCAGAATCAGGGAGAGAGTGGTGGGAGAGGACAGGGAGGTATTAGGGGGCCACTATGGCTTCTGGGTTAAGCAGTAAGGGTAGAAGGAAAACCCAAGGGGCAACAGTGTTGGTGGTAAGTGGTCATCCTCTAAAATACTTTTAAGGTAGAACAGACAGGATTTACTGTGGCAAGTAAGAGAAAGAGAGGAGTCAAGGTGACTTCAAGGTTTTGGGCCTGATTCAAAGAATGGACTTGCCATTTACTACAATGGGGGAAAGACGATGGCATGGACAGGTTTTTGGAGAAAAGATAGGGATTTTGTTTGATATGCCTATTAGACACCCAAATAGAAATGGCGAATATGATATCGGGTAGATGAGTCTTGAGGTCAAGAAACTGAATGAGGCGAAGATGTAAATACATAAAGTCATATTGATTCCAATTTGTCCAGTCCCTCTACTAACTTTAAATCTTATGAATGCTCTATAGGCTCCTTTATCTTATAAAAGGGATGTGCCATAAAATGACCACGGTAGGGGGTGGTTCTGAAGCCAGACCTCATTGATTCACATCCCTGCTCCTTCCTGGCTGTGTGACCTGCTTTGTACAAACAGCTACTCTGTTTCTTTACCAGGAGCACAGGGCTACAGTACCTACCTCATAGAGCTTTTGTATCACCGGAGAAAACACAGGGTGATCAAGACATTGAACATTACCTGGTACCATCACAAATGCTCCACCAGGGTGAGCACTTATCAATTCATGCATTCATGCGCTTCACTATGGAAACCTCAGGACACCCTCCAATAGCTGGGAGCATGGTATTGGGGATCAGGGCCAGGCAGGGAGATAGGTCGCTTGTAGCTGTGCACCTAGAAGAGGGGGGAGCTAAAAATAGGCCTAGGAAGTCCCGAAGCTACAGCGGTATCAACACCACTGTTGATTTGAGCAGACATCGGCTTACGGAGTGTTTTCTCTAGGGATTCGGCTCTGTAACCTTGTCATAAACCTTCAGGTGGGATGTCAGCGCTCAACAGGGGAGAGGATCACAGTCTCTCTCTCTCTCTGGAACTGCAGCAAAAAAGGGCCAAAGAGGAGCCAGGACTTTCAGGGCCCACATCCTGCGGCCCGGCCTAAATGCTGACAGACTAGGTGAGACCCTCAGGTCGCCACGAAGGATTTGGGGAACTGGCGGGAACTGGGGGCCGAGCTCGGGGCGGGAGGTGGAAACAGACCGGGCGTCCTCCGTCCTCTGAATGGGGAAGGCCCGCGGAGGACGAGAACCCCACGGGATTGGTGGGTGGGC